AACAGGCAATCGTTCGATGGGCTGAATTGCACAAAACGCATGATCGCACCGGCCAGTCTGGTGCGCATTGCTATTTATTTTTTTTCTTCAACTACTCTCCTTAGCCGTCCTCCTCGGTGTCCTGCCAAAAAAGCTAAGGCACTCTGAGCGCTTTTGCACCAAAAAATTCTGACTTTTAACTGATAAAATTGGCATGGGAATATAATAGCTTAGCATGTTTTTGCCTACGCATCGGCTAGTTTGGACGAATAAACCTTGGAAGAAATCTCGCAGTGGCTGAAAATGTGTTCAGGATTGCAAAAAAAAAGAGTTTTTGAATTTTTTATCGAAATTTTTTTTTTCCATTACCTTTCCTACACATCGACGCGAAATATTCAGTGCTATTTGAACATGATTTTTTTGAGACCAAAGGGGGTATTTTTTTTAAAAACCAGACAGTTCGAACTGTTTTTTACAGAATTCGCTACCATTAATGTTTCTTTTCCTGGATAGTACTGTTAATCAAATTTCGTTTTTTTTTCAGGACAAACCCAAAAAATTTGGGAAATCTTTTAACTACTACAATGATCCTGAAGTGAGTTTTTTGACTATTTCAAACTGCATTAGTTCCTTCCTAGAAAATAAAGTAATTTTGTTTAGAAAGCTTTGATTTTAATTTGTACATTTCTGGCACAGAAAAAAAACAGTTATGTTTTATTAAATAGTTAAACAAAACGGTTCTAAAAAATTTTGTTTATCGTTTTTCATAGCCTAGATGTAGAAACAGTTGCTGTGTAGTAATTTCAGTGAGTCAGAATTTTGGATGTTAAAATTGGTCTAAATAGGTCGATAGTCAGCTGTTGGCAAAGCTGTTGATCGTTCCATCTTTCGAGAGTTGCTTAGAAGCAAACTTATTAAAAATGGTTTTAAAAAATTTTGGATTTAACTCCTTGGAATGTACCGGCACCAGTTTATCATGGAAGCGAAGGGACGAAACGTAGAAAGGATAACTAATCTTTATGTCTGGAGAATGATTGAAGCAATTCTTCGTTATCGTTCTTGTTTTTGTTGTAGCTCGAAGGAATACTGCCAAACTCAACGGGATGTGCACGAACACAAGGCTATTATAAGTTATCGCATAAACAAAAGCGTGGCGTGTTACGTCGGCCAGATATTTTCTTAACTGATATCAATGAAAAGGTGGGCTATTTTCAGTTGCGTTGTGGGTATTTTTGTATTAATTTAAATAAGGAATTTGTTTGTTTTTTTTTATACTGAACTTCCTTTTAAAGCGGCTTCAAACATATGGGTAATTTTTTCCGAACGAACTTATAGTTTTTTTTTGGGTTTTTTGAAGGTGCTGAATTCTCCTGCTGTGTGTCATTTAAGATGCTTTTCTGTGAGGATTAGGAAGAAAAACGCTAGATAACAGCAAAACGCAGTACCAAAGCAAGTCTTGGATTCGGAATCGTGTTACTTTTTTTATGATAAAGGGGGATTTTTTGGTGTAGCACTAGGCAAAGATTAAATTAAGGGTAAATAGTATAAGAAGAGTTCCTTTTCTTCTCTTTTAAGCACTGAAACCGTCATACTGACAGGGTCCCGTCGTGGTGTAAAGGCGTATATGACTTAATGGAACGAAGCGTCATTTCTCATTCTTATCTCCCACTCTCATATTTTTGGCTCTCGCGCTTTCATCAGTTAGGCTTCTTGGGTCAACCTGGTTGCTACAGTCTGTTTGATGTAAGAGAAATTTATAAAATGTTATATGGTGTGGTAGGAGGGGTAGAGTAATTAGCTTAAAAGAAATGTTTCGATGCTTGTATTTTCACTTACAATCCTAACAAACTCTTAAGAATTCACTGGGAAAAATTTTTAATAATATTTTGTTTAGGAGTAATTACGTCAAAAAACATTATATTTTCTTTTGTAGGATGATGAAAAAGCTCGACACACTGTTCAGTCAACACGAGAGGCACGAAGCATGAATCGTCGGTTATTGGCAACATTGGGCGAAACATCTTCTGATATTCTTAAAGTAAATCAGCTGAAGGTACCGTTTTTCAAGGCTCTGCTTCAGTTGTGCTTTTCTTTTTTTTTTCTAATTTTCCAAATTTTGAATTATTCCAGCATACTTTTTGCTCCAAATCCGATAAAAAAGAGATTCTTCGTTATATTTTAAAGTGGCTTGGTATCAAAAGTCTTTTTTTTTTCTTTAAACATTCTTTTTATTCATTGCGTCTGTCAGAATTTGGAAAAAATTGATATTTTTTCATCTCGAAAAATTTTTTCTTTCAGTTTGTCTGGGTTTTTTTGTATTGCAGTTAGTATTGATGAAGCAGATGCTCGAAAATATTTTTTTTAGTACCGTAAAAAGCTGATAAAATTTGCGCGTTCGCGTATCCATGGATGGGGATTATATGCAATGGAACCGATTGGACCAGACGAAATGGTTGTTGAATATATTGGACAGAAGATACGACCGACAGTAGCGGATGAACGTGAGAAGGGTTATGAGAGGCGCGGTATGGGCTCCAGTTACCTGTTTCGGATTGATTCCGATAACGTAAGTTTGTTTCTATGTGGCTAGTATGATGGTTTTTTCTATTGAGACAGTTAGACTGGAATAATATGCAGCGGAATAATATCCATTTTTACCATCTATCAGTGATCTCAGAATAATTACCGAAAGATGAACAGTGACAGTGAAAAATGACCGATGGACGAAACGAACTGGTGATTTTACTGGCA